CTTAAGTACTGCACCAACTTTGCATTACACTCCCAGAGTCCCAGTGAACTCACTTCCACACTTAGTCTCACCTGGAAGTATGCATACTGTATGTAACGATAAGGTGTCCTTTTCTCGAAAGTTTCCAATAAATCTCTCCGTGGATATGTGAGCTTAAACACTGGAAAATCTGCCTTGCACTTTTTAAGGCAAGCAGCTCTCAGCAGGATGTGGCGCACGACGCGGAGGCTGCTATCCTCGAACAGGGTGTCGTTGTCCCGGCTGACGGAGCTGCAGTTGCTGCAGCAGAAAGCCTCGCTGTCCCGGAGCAGCCGGTGGAGCCGCAGGCTCAGCTCCAGGAACTTGATAGTTTCTGCCCAGTTTTGCGCTCGGTATTGCTCCATCGCGTAGTTGTACGCGGATTCCAGCGGCATGATGTCCTTCTGAGGGAAACTTTTAAAGCTGTACTTCTCATACTGAGCGTCCACCGGCGCAAAAATAACGAAGAAGAAGGCCAGGAACAAGCTTCTCGTGAGCATCTTTACCTTCACAGGCTCCCTCAGCCGTCTGTCAGTGCTTTGAATGGCTCAGGAGACCTCCTTCTTTACTTTAACAGGGATCGCTCATGTCTGTCTGCACGTAGTGGGATACCTGTAATAAAAAAAAAAAAAAACACGGGACGAAAACGCGAACATCTAGTCAAGATTTTCAGAATAAAATGAGCGTTCATCAAAATAAATAAATAATATTGATCTCTTGTCTTCTGCTCATTCTGTACAGTAATTACTTCTAAAGGATGGCATCGGTCATACATATTCGTTTAAGATAAATAATCTAGAACACAGTACGTGTGTGTATATTATTTTTATAGTTAGTCTCATTTTAAACAATTTAAACAACATGACAATTAATGTTTTTGTCCATAAAAGCTACTGAAAGGCTGCATTTTTAGAATGTCTGGATTAACCTGCTTTTCTTAGTTTAAAAGTGTGGTGTTAAGTGTGAAATTAATATTAATTGTTATAAATATCATTAAGAAACATCCGGTTCGCTACAAGTTGGAGTATTTTTCGTTTATTTAAAATTCCAAAATATAACGGTTTTCAAAAATATAAGGTTTTAAATGCAGCTTGGCAGTCGGTAAACTGCAATCTTGGCAATTACCTTGAAAATAGAGCTCAGTACTTCCGGTATATTTCTTGTTAATTCTGGGGGGCTTGACACAGACGTCACAGAATGAGTTGGGAAGAAAAGGGTCAATGTTTTCCACATAAAATGCAGAAGATGCAAACAAACCAGATTTAATATTACTTTAATCCTATTTTTTTTAATTTACATGAATATTTATCAGTGTGCATACTAAGTGTCTTATTAGTTGAAGATTGTTGATTTCTGCTGACATTTCCAGCAAATGGACAAGCTGAGACTGGTGAGGTTAAAAATCCATGTGCATAGTTGACACATGACTCGTGGGCATATTTGAACTCCGTGTCTGCAATATTTTAAAAATCTTTGCAGTTACCATTAGGAGCCCTTCGGGCTGTCTGGATGAGATGGTTATTAGGATCCAGATGATAAAGATTAACGTTTTTCTGAGGCTCACACATGTGTTCACCGGGAATTCTCCTTGCAATAACTATTTAAACCGTAGAAGACTCCTTGCATGAGCCTGCCTCCCTGAAATGTGCCACCAGATGATACGGGATTATAATTTCAGGCTCGTTTCATTTGTGAGCTGAAATCATAGAGCCGGGCCTTTTGGGCATTACACGTTTGCAAGATTCCATTAGAAAGAGGGTGGTGGCCCCGGGGCCACTCCCCCTCCTGCTCCTCTCTGGAGTACAGGACCAGAAAGATACGACAAGCAAGCCTGAAGGAGATGGGAGAAGGCCGGAAGTGTGTTTAGTTTTCCATCCACGTTAAAAATATAAAGTATTATTAATGAGAAATAAATTATGTATGTGTCTCAGATCGTGCGCTGTGCTGCATTCAGGGTTGGAACACACGGTGCCACTTAACAGCCAGACCGCATATCTGGAAGTTTCTACATTTGGCACACAATCTTATTTTTTCAGTTTTCACACACTTTCATAATGTTCTACCGTTCACATTATACATCTGTAATGTTAATGACAAATAGGGTGACCTAGGGTCCCACTTTAAGCGGAGGTGTCCCTTTTCCTGGCTAACACTTATCTCTCAAAGCAGATGTGGTAATTTATCCATACTTCCCTATTGATACCCGAAGATGATAACCAGACATGAGCGTAAGAAGTATATAGGAAGGCTGCATTCAGATAAAATCAAGTATATTTGTACTTTACATGCTAAATATTTCAAATCTGTGTAGTTTATGTATAATAATATTATTGTTATCATAATTCTTATTACTTATGTCACCCAAAACTTTCAATTTTTTCTCTCTGTTTAGAGGACTATTATTTTGAAATCCCTTACCGGAAGTCATCTATGTCATTTAAACGAGCTTCACGGCCAGACCAGCTTCAACTTTTTGCTGCTGTATCAGTTCCACATCTTGAACCACATCACCGGCGGGCAGACGGGCTCTCTCTCCACTGAGCAGCTTTCCAAATGGATTTATTGGCATGTTTTCAGCTTTTACTTCTGTCGCATTTATTGACCGTGAACTGTAGCCCCGGTCCGTTACTCGACGTTGTCGTAGATCGTTATGACATTCCGAAAGTTTGTCCTCGAGAAGTGGAAATAGAAGATTTTGTTCGTTATCATTTCAACGGTACCTTCTTTGAAGACGGGAAAAAGTTTGACTCCAGGTGAAGTT